TGATGGTGCCCGGTGGGAAAAGCTGGCGTGCTTTGGGAGATGAACTCCCCTTTTCTTTTCTCCCCCCTTTTCTCCCCCCTTTTCTCCCCCTTTTTCTCCCTCTTCTTTTTCTCCCCCGCTTTGAAATAGGGAGTTCAACTCCCGAAACACGCCAGTTTTTTCCCACCGGGCACCATCATCACAGGACTCCAGTTGTGTGACGTTGACCCATTTGGCTTCATGTTCGTTTCTTACATTCGTTTTGTGAGTATCCATTTGTCACGTTTTTAATAAATTCATTTGTAACCACGGTAATGCACGAGGAGAGTGCGCCCTTTTGCATTTTTTCTTTTGCTAGCATTAAATCGAATTACCCGGTTTAACCGTACACGTTAAAACAAGGGATTTCCTTTGCAAATACATGCGTATGCTGCAGAGGCCTCTTTGTAGTATCCCAGGGTATCTGTAGTCCTGAATTTTGAGAGCCTCCAAAGTTGGAGCACATATAATGGATAGATTGAGGGCAGGTATGCCTGGAGGGAACCCACCCCCTCCTTAAAGGTATTGGACACCCAACTTTAGCCACAATGGCATGCGAAGGTATGTCGTACATCCCCCTCACCAGATAACCAACAGTACAAACGAATGGCAACTGTCCCGAATTGTAACATGGAAGGGAGCCAGTTACAGATTGGGGTGGTTGCTATTTGTACTCTGTGGGAAGAGTGCTCCTTGCCTTGGTGGTCAGTGGGAAGGGTGCCCCCCATTCCTTACATAATAATATGAAGGCAGAAATGACTCCTCACATAAGGGGAACCCCTCAGAGACTCTGGGAGGAACCCAATGGCATGCGAAGGTATGTCGTACATCCCCTAACCAGATAACCAACAGTACAAACGAATGGCAACCATCCCGAATTGTAACATGGAAGGGAGCCAGTTACAGATTGGGGTGGTTGCTATTTGTACTCTGTGGGAAAGTGCTCCTTGCCTTGGTGGTCAGTGGGAAGGGTGCCCCCCCATTCCTTACATAACAATATGAAGGCAGAAATGACTCCTCACATAAGGGGAACCCCTCAGAGACTCTGGGAGGAACCCAATGGCATGCGAAGGTAAGTAGTACATCCCCTCACCAGATAACCAACAGTACAAATGAATGGCAACCATCCCGAATTGTAACATGGAAGGGAGCCAGTTACAGATTGGGGTGGTTGCTATTTGTACTCTGTGGGAAGAGTGCTCCTTGCCTTGGTGGTCAGTGGGGAAGGGTGCCCCTTTTCCTTACAGGTAACGTAACAAGATTAAGGCAGAAATGACTCCTCACATAAGGGAACCCCTCGGAGACTCTGGGAGGAACCCAATGGCATGCAAAGGTATGTAGTACGTCCCCTCACCAGATAACCAACAGTACAAACAAATGGCAACCGTCCCGAATTGTAACATGGAAGGGAGCCAGTTACAGATTGGGGTGGTTGCTATTTGTACTCTGTGGGAAGAGTGAAGTGCTCCTCCTTGCCTTGGTGGTCAGTGGGAGGGTGCCCCCCATTCCTTACATAATAATATGAAGGCAGAAATGACTCCTCACATAAGGGGAACCCTCAGAGAGACTCTGGGAGGAACCCAATGGCATGCGAAGGTATGTCGTACATCCCCCCTAACCAGATAACAACAGTACAAAAACGGTGGTCAGTGGGAAGGGTGCCCCTTTTCCTTACAGGTAACGTAACAAGATTAAGGCAGAAATGACTCCTCACATAAGGGGAACCCCTCGGAGACTCTGGGAGGAACCCAATGGCATGCGAAGGTATGTAGTACGTCCCCTCACCAGATAACCAACAGTACAAACAAATGGCAACCGTCCCGAATTGTAACATGGAAGGGAGCCAGTTACAGATTGGGGTGGTTGCTATTTGTACTCTGTGGAAAAGAGTGCTCCTTGCCTTGGTGGCCAGTAGGAAGGGTGCCCCCCATTCCTTACATAACAATATGAAGGCAGAAATGACTCCTCACATAAGGGGAGCCCCTAGGAGGAACCCTATGGATCCACGGGACTCTAGTTGAGAAAGGCCGCTTTGAAGCTGTGAAAATTAGTTCCTTTTTTCTTGTGGATGTTAGTAATTATGCAAAACCAATAAATTAAAATTCCCCTTGAGCTGGAAATCCCCAAACTGGGAACATCTAGTACACAAACCATACAAGAACCCTCTATGGGTGGAAAGCATTCAGGACCTGATTGGTGGACAGTCTGTGAAGAACCGTAGGTACAGATGAAGCAGTTATCATTCATGGTAGAGAACCTCTGGGATGGGCGGTCAGCTTCCCATTCCTAACAGTCCCATCATCAGAGCTTTAGCAAAATCTAGGCCTTAAACCAAGACCTCTTGGGTAAGGATTTGTATCCAGTGCCTCACCTCCACTTCCGTATGGATTTGTGGTCTCTGTGGTCCTCATTGTGGCCAACTTCTTAAACCGTATGGGCGCTTATTTTTTAATATTTTACATCAGGCTATACCTGTAAAAGGGGCCAGCCTGAAGTGATCCAGCAGGACGACGGCCTAAAGTTCCACTTTAAGTGACACCGCAGGACTTTTTCTGTGGAAGTGCTTGGAAGGAAATGGTGAGATTGAACCCTTGGTACATGGCTAATCCTAATTCAGACTTTTTTAATTTGTTTTACAGAAAGCATAAACAAATGGTACAAAAACCATGTCCAAAAGCTTTGGGATGGGGGATGGGACGGGGGGGGGGGGGGGGGGGTCAGAAGGGGCAGCTGCCCTGGCCACTGTGGTATCATGTGTGGGGGGGACCACAAGTAGAGCTCCTGCCACTGCAAGCTGACAGGAATAATAATGGGCATCACTACTTCTGTCAACTTGGTGCTGGAAGAGGCAAGCTGGAGGAGGAGAGAGCTGGGAAGAGGTGCAGGCTATGCACTCTCTTGCTGCTACTGCAGCGCTCCTGGATCAGAACTGTGTGGGAGGGGTGTGGGGGGGTGGCTTTGTTTACACCCCTCCCCCATTTAATCTCAGGATCCCCATAGATACATGGTGATTTGCACTGGGAGGAGGGGGGAATTTATTCTCAGGGGGTAAACATGCAGATAAGTACTTTTTTTGTGTGTGTTTTTTGTTAAGGGGGGGGGGGGTTTATGCTCAATTTGGTACGTTCACCCTGGGTGCTGGATGACCTTGTTCGGGCAATGGCTTGGCCCCTTTTTGTGTTTTTTTTTTTTTTTTTTTTGTTTGTTTGTTTTTTTTTTCCCATTACCACCCTTGAGCTCCAGTCAGTGACTCGATTTTAGGCCAAGGAGATAGTACTTTATCAGCTAGAAGAAGCATTTACTCCTCTCCCCACCACAATCAGACTCCTACTTTTTGTCATTTTGTAGCACGTCACAAGGTGAAAGGCATCCCTCAACACAATTGGTTGCAGTGGTCTTCCCATTATATTTGGTCTTCAGAGGGAAGAGGTGCTCTGCAGACACCCCAAGGTCTTCTATCACTGGCAGGTTTAGCCCCACGACATAAGCCCAGAATTGGTTGGAAAGGTGACTGCCATTTTAATGTCTGGCACCTTTTTGGTAGAACAGTCGTTATTAAAACGTTTGTGTGATTGCTGAAGTGGCCTCGAATGCTTGCATTTTCGTTGCCCCGGAAGACATATTTTGATGATGGAAACGCGTTGGTCGGAGCATTCCGCTGAGTTTCAGGAAGTGTATGTCGTGACAGATTGGTGGCTATATTTACATGCACATGTGTTTTTAACTTCTGTGTGTTTCTTGGCTAAAATAAATTCTTTTAAATGTTTTACACCATGGAGAGGTGTTCTCCTTCTTTCCTTACATTAATTTTACTGTGGAAACTCGCACATATTTACCTAATTGACAGTGGTCCTGGGTGATACTGAGACAGCTTGGGAGGTGACCTAGATATCCAGAGGGATACCTGTTCCGTCTCTCCAATCTAAGCATTGAAAGTGTGATCTCTGTAACTTCCAGTTGTGATGAGATAGCGATAACTCCAATCTTAGTTGAATATCACAGGCAGTGACTCGATCTAGATGACGCCTTGTAGATCTTGAGAAGTTTTTTTCCATAAACTGAGAGAATCTTACAACAATGAACATCGGATAGGTCAAAAGATCATAATGTGATCTGCTTCATGACATGAGGCTAGAAGCTGAGTTTGTGTGTGTGTTTTGTATGTATGTGTATGTGTGTTTTGTTGTGTGTTGTTAGTATTAGTATTTTTTTCTTTAGTTTTTGTATGTATGTATACATACACACACTAAATACATAATATTAAAAACTAAAGAAAAAAAATACTATATATATATATATATATATATATATAATTTTTTTTTCTTTAGTTTTTAATATTATGTGTTTAGTGTGTGTGTATACATACATACATACATACTGTTAAAAACTAAAGAAAAAAAAATATATATATATATATATATATATATATAATTTTTTTTTTTTTTTTTTTTTTGCTTTGTGAACACGGATCACTTTTGCTTGTAATTGTCCAGCCCGACGCGGTTTAGATTTAATTTACGATATATGGTTCCCTCTGGGAGGACAAAGCCTTCAGCTGAGTTGGATTTTTCCACCCAAGTCATCACTTCCCTTAAGCTGGCTCGTGAGGGTCCAATCCTTTGTAGACCAACCATGTATCTTCATCTAATGCAGATGCTAATGTTTTTGTAGAAAGGTCTTCCTCCAGCCATCAGCTTGGAGAGCTGGGTGTGGGAATCCTTTCTTGAGATATAAATGACCCGTGAACTGTTGCTACAACACTGTTCCTAAAACGTGGACTGTGGAATTGTGTACGCGATTGTGATGCTCCCACGTGTCCCGACCTCCATAGACTAAATGTGTATTTTCATCTAAGGCAGATACTCGTGTTTTTGTAGAACGCTCTTCCTCGAGATGTTGAGTGTAGAACTGTTTGAGATATAATTGACCCATGAAGCGTCCTCCTACCCTAACAGCCTTTGTTTTTTTTTCTTCTCTTACAGGTAACGATGTCTGACCGGGGGCCGGCCGACCGAGCTTGTAAAGACCCAAATCCTATCATTGATGGGCGGAAGGCCAACGTTAACCTCGCCTACCTGGGAGCCAAACCACGCAACTCCAGAGTGGTAAGACCCCCTGCCCTTCTTATTTTAAATATGATCCCTAATCTGAAGACTGACCATTAGAAAGTCTCTAAATACAACCAAACGTTTACCTCCCAATATAATGGGGTACAGCATTTGCCCAACACGTACGGTCCTGAAGACACAACAGGAAATGGAGGATATTTCCCTTAGCCAGTTGTCTTTTGACCTCTTCAGAATAACTTCACATTACCTCCTATGGTGCTCCCGTCTCGTGAGTAGTATATTCATATTGGAGAACTAAGGTGTGGGATCAGGGGCGGTGCTACCACTAGGCCAACTAGCCAGCCGCCTAGGGCCCAGCCACAGCTGCTGGTTTCCCGACTCTCCTCCATGGCCCCCAGGTTCAGTTGTACTCCTCCAGGCCGGTCTTTCCATGGACATTGTGCCTGGTGGGGGGACTTGGGTAAGGTGGGAGGGTTTTATGGTGGGAAGGTTTATTTGGAGTGTGTGTTAGCTAGGGAGGGATTTGGGGAATCTGTCCTAGGTGGATGTATTGAAGGAAGTGGACTGATGTGGGGGAGAGGAGATGTGTGCTGGGGGGAAGGGGTGATGGAAATTTGTGCTAGGAGGGAGGATCGGGGAAGATTTTTGCTAGGAGGGGGGATTTGGAGGAGATCGTGCTAGAAGGGAGGATTTGGAGGAGGGGGGGGGAATTTGTGCTAGGATGGGGGGGGGGGGGGCCTTGGGGAGTTGTGCTTGTTGGGAGGGAGTTGTTGTGCTTTGAGAGGGGGGATTTGGGGTTAGGGGGTTGTGCTTTTAAGAGGGGGAATTTGGAGGGGGGTTGTGCTTTTTGATAGGGGGGAATTTGGAGGGGGTTGTGCTTTGAGAGGGGGGATTTGGAGGGGGTTGTGCTTTGAGAGGGGGGATTTGGAGGGGGTTGTGCTTTGAGAGGGGGGATTTGGAGGGGGTTGTGTGCTTTGATAGGGGGGAATTTGGAGGGGGTTGTGCTTTGAGAGGGGGGATTTGGAGGGGGTTGTGCTTTGAGAGGGGGGATTTGGAGGGGGTTGTGCTTGAGAGGGGGGATTTGGAGGGGGGTTGTGCTTTGAGAGAGGGGGGGCTTTGGGGGAGGGGGGGGGTTGTGCTTTGAGAGGGGGGATTTGGAGGGGGTTGTGCTTTTGGGGGGGGGGATTTGGAGGGGGTTGTGCTTTGAGAGGGGGGGATTTGGGGGGGGTGCTTTTGGAGGGGGGATTTGGAGGGGGGTGCTTTCTGAGGGGGGGATTTGGAGGGGGTTGTGTGGTTTTGGAGGGGGGGGATTTGGAGGGGGTTGTGCTTTTTGAGAGGGGGGATTTGGAGGGGGTTGTGCTTTTGAGAGGGGGGATTTGGCGGGGGTTGTGCTTTGAGAGGGGGAATTTGGAGGGGGTTGTGCTTTGGATGGGGAATTTGGAGGGGGTTGTGCTTTGAGAGGGGGGAATTTGGAGGGGGTTGTGCTTTGAGAGGGGGAATTTGGAGGGGGGGTTGTGCTTTTGAGAGGGGGAATTTGGAGGGGGGTTGTGCTTTTGAGAGGGGGGGGTGCTTTTTGGAGGGGGGTTGTGCTTTTGAGGGGGGAATTTGGAGAGGGGGGGTGTGCTTTTGAGAGGGGGGATTTGGAGGGGGTTTGTGCTTTTGAGGGGATTTGGAGGGGGTTGTGCTTTTGAGAGGGGGGGAATTTGGAGGGGAGGGAGGGGTTGTGCTAGAATATGGGATTGGGGGTAATTTGTGCTATCTAGGTGAGGATATTGAGGGGGGGGGGGATATTGTTCCAGGAGTAGGGAAAAATTGTGCTAGGAGGGAGGATTTGGGTGGGGAGGAAGGATTTGTGCTGGGAAGGGTTGTACTAGGAGGGGGCTTTGGGGAAGAGAATTTGTGCTAGGAGGGGTGAAGTAAAAACTACAGGTGAAGTGGTGTTTTTGTGTGTTGGGGGGGTGGTGGTGCAAGTAGCTGGTCTTGCCTGGGACGCGCACTAGTCTTAACATCTAGCTCCAGCCCTGTTTGGGATGTGTGTGTAGGTCTCCATGGGACTGGCCACATCCTTTTAGAGTGTGGGAAGGGAGTCTCACTCCCCTTGTTACAGCAGGTCCACTCTTGATGAATAGGTGAAGCTGGACTCATGCTCCTGGCTGGCATCGAGGAGCAGAGTTGGGAGCTCCAATGTATGGACCCTCACACCAGAGTTATAAGAAGCCGGAAAGTCCTTGACCCCCCCCCCCCCTCCATAATGGGAACAAATCGATGATTAACCCTTCAAATCTTTCTCAGTTGTTTGCTGATCCTGCCCCATAACTCCACGTAAACATATTCTTGTTTTTTTTGCAGGTTTTCACGATCGGCGTTCAACAATTACACCACGGCCTTCATCCAGCGACCCATTGGGTGAGTTGTGCTTCTGTAGCTTCTTAAGGGGCTGAGCCGTATGGATCTTGAAATACTAGAAAATGTGTGGGAGGGCTAGTCGCAGGGGTGGACTGACCATTTGGAAACTCAGGCACTGCCCGAGGGCCCGGGGTCAGTAGGGGGGCCCCATGAGATGCCCCTGGTTCCCTTTTTCATAGGCTTTTTTGAGTGTGGGCAAGGACAATTGCCCGGGGGCCCCATGAGTTGTCAGTCCGCCCCTGGCTAGTCGTATGCAAATCGGCCAAGCCCCAGATTAGTATTTCGGAGGTCAGAAGTGGGGGGCATGTGTGTGACATTTGGGGTGATGCGGTCAGTTTGTGACCACTTAGTGAAGGTCACCTGTCACCTGTTTCCTTTCCATTATCTCTGTCTGGGATTGGCTAGGTTTGGCTGGGACTGAGATCGGTGCAGGGACTACTTGGATCAGTGCGTTGTAACTGACGGGTTGGCTGCTCTGGCTGCATTATCTCATCATAGAAAAAAGAAAACCATTCTTTTCAAGCAAAGGGAGACAAATGAGAGCTCCGGCAAGTCATATGGCCCATGTCACGCACGCTGTCTTCCCTCTTCTATGGGTTGATGTGCCATGCAGATATTTTCCAGGAAGCTGGATAAATTGAGTACTGAAAACACTCTAGTTGTCCAGAAGGATTAGGAGCTCTGACATATACCGCAGCGCTGTACAGAGAACGCTGAGCCAGTCACATCAGTCTATGTACAGAGGAGCTTACACTCTAATGTCCCCTCCCTACAGTCACATCAGTCTGTGTGGCGGGGGGGACATTAGAGTGTAAGTTCCTCTGGTACAGAGACCGATGTGACTGGTTCAGTGTTCTTTGTACAGCGCTGCGGTATATGTCAGAGCTATATAAATGTATAATAATAATAGTGTGTGACTGTGGGGGAGGGGACATTTAGAGTGTAAGCTCCTCTGGTACAGAGACTGATGGGACTGTGGGGGAGGGGACATTAGAGTGTAAGCTCCTCTGGTACATGGGACTTTGGGGTGGAGACTGATGGGGACTGGCTTCAGTGTTCTCTGTACAGCGCTGCGGTATATGTCAGAGCTATATAAGTGTGTGTGTGTCCCCTCTGGTACAGTCACACACCATTTATTATACATTGTATATAGCTCTGACATATACCGCAGTGTTGTACAGAGAACACTGAGCCAGTCACATCAGTCTCTGTACCAGAGGAGCTTACACTCTAATGCCCCCCCCACAGTCACATCAGTCTCTGTACCAGAGGAGCTTACACTCTAATGTCCCCTCAGCTCCCATACCGCAGTGCCACAGCCAGTCCATCAGTATCTGTACCATAGGAGCTTACACTCTAATGTCCTCTTCAGCATTCTCTGATAGTGAATCCATCACTTTACTTGACAACCCATGAACCTGGAGGATTGACCTGCGATGAATGTTTGGTGAATGTCGGATTCGCTGTCGCTCTACACATGCGATACCAGTAAGAGGACACGCGGTTCCAGCAGCTTTTAAACGCGTGACGTTCTGTGCTGGGATTGGCGTCTGTTGAGCGTGGGCCCCTCCAGCCGTTGGTAGCCCCTTGGACAGATGTTTTGCCCTGGGTCCCTGACTCCCCTATTGTCTGGCCCCTTTTCAATGGCTCATCCGCCACTTCTTTCTCTTCTCCCTCGCACGCTAGAATAGTCGGCTAATTGGGCACGGCAGCTGCTCTGGAAAACACGAGCAATCCGGAGGAACAATAGAGGCGACACAATGCCCCCGTTTAACCCTTGGCGGCCTCCCTGCAGCCTGCTCCCCGCACATCTCGCCGAGCGCCCGGCTACTGTACGGTTAATGGCGGCTCCATCCCCAGCTGTCACCCCCCCCCTCAATTATTTTATAGCTGGAGATCCGCGCTCTATAGAAGGATGATATGTCCCAGGTCACCCCACCCTGTGTAAGTGTGCTCGGGGCCCGGCTCCAGGTCTCTGTGCTCGGGGTCCAGGTCTTTGTGGGATCCGCCCCAGCTCCAGGTCTCTGTGCTCTTGGGGCGGGCCCTGGCTCGGGGCCCGGCTCCAGTCTCTGTGCTTGGGGCCCGGCTCCAGCTCTCTGTGCTTGGGGCCCGGCTCCAGCTCTCTGTGCTCGGGGCCCGGCTCCAGCTCTCTGTGGGATCCGCCCGGGACACCCCAGACTTTATTAGCCTGAACCCCAAATAAGTTCTCGGATGATAAACCCAAATTGTTACATTTTTTTTTTCCCCGTCATCTCTCACTAACGTGACACGTCTCCATGAATACATTCCCCGGATTCCCCGTATGAGGTGTCACTGGGTCGCTCTCTGAAAAGCTCCGCCTTTTATCAGCTCTTCCGGCCTCGTGTTTCAGGCTCTGTGGAGGGTGTAAGGATATGGGGGGGCATGTATATGCAAGGGGGAGTGTCTGAGCCGAGTGTCGGGTTGGTTTTGAATGTGGTGGGGAAAGGTTAAAGTCTGTCAGGTTTAGTTTTTGGGTGGCATGGAGATGGGTTAGAGCCTCTGTCGGGTTTTATATTAAAGAACGAGTAATGGTTATAAACTCAGGTTTTTGTACGGGAAGATGGGGGAAGGGTTAGAACCACTGTCGGGTTTTGGATAATGGGCTGGGGGTGGGTTAGAAGCGTGTGTGTGCGTGATGTTGTTATTTTGCATAAGGGGAAGGGTTAGAACTTCTGCTGGGTTTTTGGATCAGGGGATGGGTTAGAACCTCCTGTCGGGTTTTTGCACAAGGAGTAGGGGAACGGTTAGAGCCTCCTGTCGGGTTCTGTGCAAGGGGATGGGCAAGGGTTAGAACCTCTGGGGGTTTTGCGTGTGGGGGTGGGTTAGAACCGCTGCCTAAGGGGATAGGGAAGGGTTAGAACCTATGTCAGGTTTTGTATTATATAGAATGGGGAAGGGTTAGAACCTTTTTGTTGGGTCTAGATTTGGATGGCATGGGGACCCTTTAACCCTTTAAAGCCTCTGTTGAATATAATTTTGAATGGCATGGGGAAGGTTTCGGACCTCTGTTGGGATTTGCATTATAGAATGGATAAGGGTTTGAACCTCGGTCTGCTTCAGTTTTGGATAGTGTGGGTAAGAGTTAAAGCCTCTGTCGGTTTTTATTGCTGTCAGTGAGATTTTCCCCCTCTTTCTCCTGAGGAACATTTGTCACCAGGACCAAAGTGATGGGAGATCCACATTTTTTAGCGGTCGCCCATTGGAAGGTTTCCTCTCCCCTCCTGGCTTTGTGGCAGTGAAGCTGCGAGGCCTCGGAGATGCAGAGTGGCAGCTTACATTTGCAGTTTCTCACAGAGGTCTTGAACTTCTTCTGCGTTCTTTGCTCAGCTGAGCTTTTCATGGCTCGGTGTGTCCTTCTCCTCGGCTCCAGGCGGCCCCTCGATTTATAACGGCAGACCTCCCGTGTCTCATCAGATGAGGTTTAAAGGATTGCCTCTTCATATCCGTCGCTCCTCGGCCCAGGCCGGTTGTCATAGCTGAAGTGCTGCGATAATTCGGCGAGGATCCTTCTACCGCCACATGGAAGCGGTGGGCCCGGGGCTGGGAATGCGGATAATAAAGTTGATGTACGGTTGGCTGGGAAGGAATCTTTATTGTTTAAACAAAATCGTATATCGCCCCGTGATTAGCGCAGTAGCGGGCGACGCAAATCCGCCGAGTCCCATACGCCGTGTTTTATCACCCCGAGCTGAATGTCTTGTATGTATACCGGGAATCCTAACCTGTCCCAGGGCCAAGAACAGAGCAAGATCAACCATATGGCGGGGGGGAGGCATTAGAGTGTAAGCTCCTCTGGTGCAGAGACTGGTGTGACTGTGGGGGAGGGGACATTGGAGTGTAAGCTCCTCTGGTACAGAGACTGATGGGATTGTGGGGGAGGGGACATTGGAGTGTAAGCTCCTCTGGTACAGAGACTGATTTGACTGTGGGGGAGGGGACATTGGAGTGTAAGCTCCTCTGGGGGGGGAAGGGGGGACACATTAGAGTGTAAGCTCCTCTGGTGCAGAGACTGATGTGACTGTGGGGGAGGGGACATTGGAGTGTAAGCTCTTCTGGTACAGAGACTGATGTGACTGGCTCAGTGTTCTCTGTACAGCACTGCGGTATATGTCAGAGCTATATAAATGTATAATAGTGACTGTGGGGGAGGGGACATTAGAGTGTAAGCTCTTATGGTGCAGGGACTGATGTGACTGTGGGGGAGGGGACATTAGAGTGTAAGCTCTTATGGTGCAGAGACTGATGTGACTGTGGGGGGAGGGGACATTAGAGTGTAAGCTCCCTCTGGTACAGAGACTTAGGTGACTGGCTCAGAGTTCTCTGTAAGCGCTGCGGTATATGTCAGAGCTATATAAATGTATAATAGTGTGCGACTGGGGGGACATTAGAGTGTAAGCTCTTCTGGTGCAGGGACTGATGTGACAGGCTCAGTGTTCTCTGTACAGCGCTGTGGTATATGTCAGAGCTATATAAATGTATAATAGTGTGCGACTGTGGGGGGACATTAGAGTGTAAGCTCTTCTGGTGCAGGGACTGATGTGACAGGCTCAGTGTCCTGATCTATAAATACATGGCTGCAGAGGGGTTACTCCTCCTGTTCTTTTTGTCTATCAGGGGGACCCGGCCTGCACCACACCCAGTACAGCGTCTTCCTGCGCTCGGCATTGGCCCTGTGACATGTAATGGGACGGGGTGTCATTTGTGTGGTGCAGCTGAGGAAGTGCTTGGAGTCCTCTCGGGCACGCTTGCCGCGTGTATTTTATCTGAGATGTGTCAGATCTCTTCTCCCAAAGGGTGCGTCTTGCATGACGGTCCCTCCCTGGCTTCCTGTGTCATTTTTTTTTTTTTTTTTTTTCAGGGGCCCCGTATGATTTTTGTCTTGTCATATGCTCATCTGAAGATGTCTTATCCCTTTACAGCTGCTGTCTTGTGTTTTTAGGACGGTGGCAGTTCATGGCCCTCAGTAAAAAAAAAAAAAA